AAAGGCCCCGGCCTATATTAGAGGATTTACGGTATATTTTAAACATGTTACAGGTCAGAATCTTTACTTAGATTCATGCTGTTCAGTGAGAAGTTTACAACATATAGTATAGTAGTTTTAATGGTTTATTTAAACAGTGTTTACAGATAATACTATTAATATAATGTGACTTTTCTAGAGAATCATTATACAGTTATTTTATACAGGGTTTCCACATTCTTAAATAATTCCCTGACTTTTAAGTGACTCAGGATTAGTTTTCCCTGATAAAATAAATGCAGCATCAAGACAATAATAATAACATAACAGGTCACCAATTTAACATGTTTAGCTCTATAACATTTAAATGCACCTCTCTAATGTCTAAGAGAAAAAAAATTTAATGAACATTTTTTAATGTATGACCATTGTACAGAAGACTGCCATATGATAGCGCTTTCTAGCTGGTTTGTCGTTTTGGTAACTGCATCAAAATTACCGCTAGGTGGACAAAAATCACGCCATCTGGCGGAAAATCAGGCGGCTTTTTCAAATCACGCGAGAATGTGTACAAAACAACAAAAATGGCACCGGCAACGCTTCTGGGTCGTTGTCATCGAATGTCGGTGATTTTAAAGTAATTTTGAGTGATAAATAATTTTTTTTTGCAGTGCGGGCAAATGCAATGAAATTTGTACTCCAAAAAATAAAAACTACTTGCCCCGGGAGATCGGGCGATGGTTAACATCGAGCCCTGAATTACGTCAATACTTTTATGCACACATCCTCTCACATGCACTGTGAACTAACAGGGTTCTTAAAAAACTCAAAAAAATGTCATATCATTCGGTTTATATTTTATTTTATGGTTGATAACTTATTCCGCGATAGCAGTGGCTAAATGCAGCTGCATATGACTCTTTAATCTGAGAAAACTGGAGCAGGAAAGTCCTTAAATTCAATGTTTAAGTGTAAGCACCTTGCATGGAAAAACAAGTAAAAAAAAAAAAAAAAGAGAATGAATACACAAATTAGTTTAAAGGAATAGTACACCCAAAACATGATTAGCCTTCATTTTCTACTCACCCCCATGCTGAACAACACTCTGGAGTACTTTTTTGATATCTCAAATGCATCTGGAGATCTGGGAGGCTTCTTGCTGTCTGCTGACATTCAAATAATGGAGGTCTATGGCGCCCGAGGCAGAAAGGTCCATAAAAGTCCACAAAAAACGTGTCAATATTCCTCCATACTGCTCGTCCAATGTATTCCAAGTGTCCTGAGTGGGTAGCATCCAGAATTTACTCGAAACGAAGTCATTAAGAATGTTTTTAGAGCATAAACAGTAGTGTATAGGATTTCCTGAAAGCGTGCACGTGCGCGTTCACGACTCTACGGAAGCCGTTAGACCAAACCAGATGAAAGTGCGCATTCAGTGTCTGCTCTGCCAATAATGCAAGCGTAGAAGAAGAAATGTGCTGTTTACCTGTGCAAAGAAAGAAACTTTGCTGAGCTGAATGCGCACTTTCATCTGGTTTGGTCTGCCGCGGTTTCCGTAGACTCGTGAACGCGCTTTCAGGAAATCCTATACACTACTGTTTATGCTCTAAAAACATTCTAAATGACTTCGTTTCAAGTAAATTCTGGACGCTACCCACTCAGGACACTTGGAATACATTGGACGAGCAGTATGGAGGAATATTGACACGTTTTTTGTGGACTTTTATGGACCTTTCTGCCTCGGTCACCATAGACCTCCATTATTTGAATGTCAGCAGACAGCAAGAAGCCTCCCAGATCTCCAGATGCATTTGAGATATCAAAAAAGTACTCCAGAGTGTTGTTCAGCATGGGGGTGAGTAGAAAATGAAGGCTAATCATGTTTTGGGTGTACTATTCCTTTAAAGTGAAATTCCCTTTACATACATACTCATAAATAATTGTGTAAATTTGAATGAGGAAACAGAATTTTGGGAGTTTTGGAATGGGATTCATATTTTTTTTTATTAATATGTAAATTGCAACAGTATTTTTGTTCTTTCATTTTTCACTATATTTTCTGGGTATCTTTTATTATTATAAGTGACTAATTTGGTTTATTTTTCTGCCTTTAAATTTTTAACTGCATTTATAAATTAGGTCTTAGAGCTTTAAAGAGCAGATACTAAAGTTTTGGTGTAATTGTTTATTTATTTGACTTTAACAACAAATCTCAGTCTGAAAAAAAAAAAAGTTTTAACTTAATTCAGTTATTTCTTGCAGCTTTCTCTAAGAATTTTAAAAAATCTAATTACATGTACTCCTTTTTTCCTCTCATAGGGCGGCTGCTTTGACCCGTTTCCTCAAAACTTCCCACCCCAGCAACCCACTGCCACGCCGGTTTCCATGGACCCTAAACCCCCCACCTATACTTTCCAGTTCCCACCAACTTCACAAGCTCCGTTTCCTCCAGAGCTGGCCGCGGTGGGGCAGCAGGGGGTGACATTCGGAGCTCCCCGCGGGGCTTTCCCTGGCGGCTCAGCGAGCGTGGGGCTGAGGCCAGGCATGACCAGACCCCAGGGGATGGGCCCCCAGCTCAGGCTGCCACCCAACCACCTGCGGCTGCAGCTGCAGCAGAGACTGCAGGGCCAGCAGCAGGTGAGATGGTTGTCTCAGCTGCTTCTTGTGCTTCATCAGCTTCTGCTATCGATTCAGTCTTAATGTCTGCAGCTACTTGTTTGCATAATGCATAGAAACCTTGTGGATGTTATTTATTTACACCATTTCAGTGATGTTAACAAAAGGATGTCATCCATTACGAGTGAGACAGAAACACTTGCACGTCTTTAGGAGATATTGATTTTCTGCCCTTTGCATGTATCTGAATCATGCTTCATTATGATGAGAGTCTTCTCTCTTTTCCTTATATTGATTTAGAAGCTTTTAGAGCTGATATCATCCAACTGCACTTCCTGTAGCACTCCTAATCCCATCTTTTTTTTCTGTTTTGGTATTCCACCTGCATGTTTACTCATTTCCTTTTTTCTTTTTACTTCAGAATCGACTGGCAGCCTTGAATTCATTCCCAGGAGGCCCCCAGCAGGTTAACATGGGGGTCCGACAGGGGCTCCAACAACCCCAGATACCCTCACAGGTCAGTCAGAGTGCCAACTCTTACATTTAACACACCGTCTTTAATTACCTTGCTGTTAATATGCATAGATGCTACTAAAAGTTCACTTCTTTTTGAACAAAACTTAAAAAATCTAATCTGTTAATTTGAGTAAATTTATATTTAGGGCGAATTTATCCTTTTAAGTTGATGAAGGTGATAAAGATATTTCCGATTAGTCATCTGTGACTCCTTGTTTCCCGGGGAGTAAATCCAACATGGCCGTGACCGATCCAGCTGTCTATGGGTGAGAGGCGGGGTCCACCCTGGACAGGTCGCCAGTCCAAACTCTATGAAGAAAGAAAATCGAACCCGGAACCTTCTTGCTGCAAGGCAGCTGTACTACCCACTGCCCCACTGAGCAGCCCTGTTTTGAAACCATGACTGATTATCAGAAGCAAGTTATCTACATGTAAAGCAGTATTTTTTGGCGAAATGAGAGAAGCAGTCGGTTTCTTTCCCTCCAAATACAGACTTGTTTTGTTTTTTTCAAGATGAAACCAATATTTAGTTTTCTTTGGCAAACACTCATGAGTAAAATAAAAGAAGAGCGTATGATATTGCACCTCAAACCCACTGTTAGCTACACTGAATGATCCGTGATGCTGTGGGCCTGCTTGTCTATTAAAGCTCTTTGGGAATTGGCCTTCATTTAGCTTGGGAAGAGCTGGATTTGTGATTGTCTTGTAAATCCCTTTGGATTGTCTTGTAAATCCCTTTGGATAATTTTAGATTTCAATCAATCTCAATAAGCCAACAGATCTCCATTTCCTTCATTTTTGGTTTGTATTTTCGGGTGTCTGAGTATCTTCTCCTGCCTCCCAGCAGCCTCCGCTGAACGCTCAGATGCTGGCGCAGCGTCAGAGGGAACTCTACAGCATCCACCATCGTCAGCAGCAGCAGCTCCTCCAGCACAAGGTCAGGCTCATGAGACAGAACGTGGCGGGAGTGCCCACCGTCGGCGTTGGCACCCCTAGGGCACCCAAAGTCCCTCCCACGACGTCTCAGCAGCAGTTCAGCTTTCCGCCGGGGTACAACCCGATGGCGGGGAACACCCCTACCTCACCGAGTCACTTCAGCAACGTGCCAGGGACGCCTTTGGACTCCAAGCTGTCTGTCAGAGTGCCCCTGGGCAACCAGACGCTGATGGGTGGCTTACCGGGCCAGTTTGACAGCACCGTGAACACCTCCGTGCAGCAGGGACTCTTTCAGCAGTTTGGAGGGTCTGGTGAGTTTAAAAAAATGGATTCATGGAAGAAATTAAAGGTATAGTGGAAGATGTTCTTTTTATGGGTGAATCATCAAAATAAGTGGTCCCCCTTATTGTCAATCACTCTGGTGATATGTTTACGTAAAGCCGTCCTACCTGCTCGCCCCGTGAGCTATCTTTTTTTGCACGTGTGCCTTCAGGTGTATAAGTGTGGTAAGCTGTGGTTTCATACAGTTATTGAAGCTCACCTTTCGCACCACGGTTCTATGAAAATGATAGAGGGTCGTAAGAGAAAAGGTGTTTATGAAGTGTATGAGAAGAAGAGAAAGGCCTCCGAAGAGAGAAACAAATCTTCTTTTGGGAAGTAAGCTTGTACACGTGATGTGTTTAATAGGCGTTCCCTCTCAGTAGCATTCTCCACTATACCTTTAAGGTTTGAGGTTTTATCCACAGTCTAGTGTATCTACAGTCTCCCATCTATCTGAACTATATCTATCCTTTATCCATTAACCAACATTCTTTTTTTGCATTTAATCCCCCCCACCTCTCTCCTCGTTCGCGTTTCTCCAGGCTCCATATTTATCACCTACCTTCTTTAAAATATGCGTCTAAATTTCAGAGTTTAGCTCTTTCTAAACGAAGCAAAAAAAGACTCAGACCTTGATGCATGTGTGGAAAATTATAGTATTTTTGGGAAGAAAAATGTATGAAAACATTGGTTCTATTCGCTGACGCTCAGGAAAATTAAAATATAGTTTTAGAAATTTAGTTGTTGGATAAAGTTTATGCAAAAATAAACTTTTTATAGACTTCATACATAGCCGGATTGTTATCAAAGTGTTTTTTTGTCACAGCTGTGGTCCAACAGGATCCACCCTTTCCTCCTGAGATGAGCCCTACAAGCCCATTATTATCACCTCAGAACTCCACTTCCCAGAGTCCTCTGCTTCAGCAGGCACCGCCTTCTGGCTATCAGTCTCCAGACATGAAGAGCTGGCAGCAGACAGGCCTGGGCAGGTAAATGCTCTCCTGGGTTAAGTATTTTTTGTTTTTCTGAATTTATTGCATGTCTTACAGACTGGATCTGAATTCCCCCTCTGTCCTACAGCCTGTTCAGCCAGTCAGGACAGGGAGCAGCGCAGGCGTTCGGCCAGCAGGGGGTGTATAACAACATGAGCATCACCGTCTCTATGGCTGGAGGCACGAGCAGCGTCAGCTCTTTACCTCCCATGGGTCAGGCGGTTGGAATGAGCAACAGTAACCTCAGCAACGTCAGTTCAGTGTGCAGTGACCAGCAGGTTTGTAAAACCGATAAACCAGTGAAGCTCAGCCTGAAATTCAAGGTTAAACTGATGCTACGTTCAGACTGCACAGATGCAACAGAAGCAGCTAGTTTACATGCAAAGTCAATGGTTGACACACAAAAAAAAGGTCCGGCAGCTGAACGCCTTCCAGCCGCCGCGAACAGTAGCGGAAAACCGCCGTTGAACAGATTTCCAGGGACAGAGCTCCAACAGAAAAATAATATTTGAAGGCAGGATCGTAATCATGATGAAATGACTGCTCAGATGAAGTTTTCAGGTGGACTTTCTCACTTAAAAATATATTAAAACTACTTTTTACCCACTTATAGCAGCAAGTATAGCAAAGCCGCTCTCTGCCATCGAACACAGGAGCAGCAGAAGCATCAGACGCATCTGGACATTTGAATGTAGCATAAGATCCATCTATTAATGACATGATTAATAGATGGTGTATAAATATATCCAGCTGTTCTGCATAGGGGATAATTATAGCTGCTTTTGTTTATTTAATTGAGAAAAAAAGAGTCGTTCTGCGAATATGGCCTTAATCCTCTTCCACATTTTTTGTTGGAGAATGTTGGTGAACAAATGACATCATTAAAACCAAGGCTGTGTCTGAAAGCCTTATTAATCACTATATAGGGCACTATATAGTGATTAGT